AAAAGTTTTTTGGGTCGAGAACGGTTTAATCCATTTTATATTGTTTCTTATGGGAAAATTTGTCTCGGTTTTAGAACAAATTTTAGGAACTAATTAAGTTCGAAATCCTAGGTTTGACTGTAATACATTAGTATTATATGCAAATAAGCTGGATGGCTGAGACAACCGGGCGTGCACAGTTTAAATTTCATCACTTGCGGTGCTAATGTCAGCTTGATGTATACCTAACTTCCTGTAGTGAGTAAATAGTGTAAACTGAACGGGTAGTTTTAATCTACTTATAAAAATATGGAGTTAAAGAATGTAACAGTTGCCGAATTACGAAAGAAGTTAATCCTATATCTTAACCCTCTTGATTTTTACCTATAGAGAGGTTTCAAGTCGACATCATGAGTGACGTCGTGAGCATGTGCAATTGTCAGGCGCTATCTTTGTGGTTTGTTTACGTTTTATTTGTGTTTACGCACGCTTTAGCTGGAGTTCGTGTGTTGTTTATTCGTCGCGAATATCACTATGGTGAATTGTGTAATTGGGTGTAATGCTAGTTCACTCAAGAACAAAAGAACGTCATTTTTTAAAATTCCTGACATTATTTGTCATCGAGAACCTCAAACTGAGGAGTTTACACGACGAAGGCCATTTGCACGAGAATTAACCAGAAAATTTTCAATATGGATAAAGTGAATGTCAATACAAGAGTTCGTCAGAAACATTTCAGGTAAGCAATAACATTTTGATTATCTAATTATTTATTGATAACTAGTAAACTTTTGCATGAGTATCATGAAGTGTGTACAAATCCCTTTGCATAAATCCCTTCGTTAATACCGACAAAATAAAAAATAATTTTAACAACCGCAGATTTTAGTTTGAATAGATAATGATTGCGTTCTACTTTTATTTTTCACCTTTCAGTTTGTTTTCTTAGTCTCTGCTTGTAATAAATATACGGTAGAGTTAATAAAGTATTAAGCAAAGCTTAGCAGATGAAGAATTAGAAATGAATTGTGAACTAATTGTCCTTCAATCTAATTTACATAAATATGTGTGTATTTTTGAGATATAAACCAATAATTTCCATTGTTCATCTACAAACAGCTAAGTTAGATTATTTTGGTGAGCAACATTAAACATTTCTGTAAGATGTTACTTTTTACAATGATTTTTTTTACATTAGTAACAAACAAACATTACATAGTAACCTTCAAGTCGTTCCTGACAAATTATTATTTATCATTTATATATAACATACCATAATGATATAAAGTATTATTATTAAAAAGAACTTATTATTGAAAAAGTTTTTTATCCCAAAGGAAAACCTTCCTCATTTTATGATGAGTCATCACCAGATTGGGTGCTAACATTATACGTGGGGTATGAGAGTGGCCACAATCCAACTGCATATCGGGAGCGTTATGAAAGAGCATATAATTAGGAGAAACACAGCCGTTTGTAAGATAGTTATGGGCCTCTAAAGATTTGTAAACTTTTATTTGTGAAACAGGGTAGTAATTTGTCGTCAAAACCAAATGGTTTATGATGTTACCAAGTTCTACTTTAGACACAACTAGCTTTGTATGGATCGACACCTTGACATAATGGAACTTCGTATAAAGCATCATCTTGTCCTGTCAGACTGCAAGAATAACCCGCCATAAAAGCATCTTTTTTAACTGTGTCCATGATATAAAACACTGCAGTTCCATTAAGTTTAAATTGAGAGTGAAAAAAAGCGCTGCCAACCTGTCAAATAACAAACCACGTGCAAACTAAGCAAGCGGAAGCTAGACCATAAACATGGCGAAGGGGCCGAACAAACGTGCGTTTTATTACGTGACATGCGACCTTGAAACNAAAAATTTTTTTTTTTTTACTTTATTTTCATAAATGCTAAGAAAACTTTTTAAGTGCATCATGAGTTTGCAATGAAATAACCTTCCAGTAACAAAAATTATAATATCATATTGATGAATGTTTTCGATCTTAACCAAGATCTGCATCAGGTCACCAGTGATATTCCAAATTGGAATGTGCAGAACACAACTTTTCAAAAATATTTTTTTAAATTATTGGAACAAAAACATAACAAAAAAAAAACAGTTATAAATGTAAATAATTGATGATAATCTTAAGAAGTACAAAATTATAACAGATACAAAAGTAAGACATAAAATATTACAAAATAATAATAATTAGTCTATTGGTAATTCCCAGTTTTACATAAAAGTATTGCCATGCATATGAGATGCTTTTTCCATCTTTAAAATTAATGCAATTGCCAGTCAGGTCAGCCTCGTATATTTCCAAGGCTTCTAGAGCTCTGTTGTGGTCGGTTTGAGATGATTGCTTAATTAATGTGGCATTCTGGAGATTGGTTTACATGTCTGTCTCAGTGACATAAATGGACAGAACAGTGGTATACCTTTTATTCAAAATATTGTAATGATGTTCTTGCAATCTTTTGTGTATGGAGCACTTAATGGATCCAATGTATATTGTATCTCTTTTGAATCTGTTGTCCCTCGCAGGAACACTGTACACCCCTGGTGCCCTACATTTATTGGCCTTGTCCTTTCCATTGTGTAGTAATTTATACACTGTAGGAACTCATTTATATGCCAACTTGGTATCCATATTGTTAGCAATTTCTTTGTATAAGATATGTAAATACTGGTCATACTCAATCACTGTGCACGTGGGGTTAGGGTTGCATGTTTGACCATTGTTGGAATCTCCTTGGTTGTTGGAGTTATTGCGTAAGGAGTGTTGGTTCTAGTAGGCACAAGCTAAATTACATATTAGGTCCCTTCTATACTCATGCTTTATAGCTATGTCCTTCAGATGTTTTAGCTCTTTTAAAGTGTCCACCCAGTTTGTATGGTGTCTAAAGGCCCATCTTGTAAGTGCATGGAAGGCACTTACAAGATGGACCTTTACACACTTTATATGAGAAAAAAGTTGACTGAGTTTGCCAGAATAAATAATGGTAAATAGTCAGGTTTTTAATAGATGCCAGTTTCTTTTCGGCAAGGGCTGCATATAATGTTAATATTTAAGAAGTGTGCACTAGTATTACTTATCTGATCTAATTTAAGGCCAATCTGATTGACAGTTGTATTAACTTTAAACATGGAAAAAGTGTCTCATATGCATGGCAATGCTTTTATGATAAATTGGGAATTACTGACATAAACTAATTATTATTATTATTTTGTGGTTTTAGGCCCTTTACTGCTCAGAGAACACAAAAAGGCCAGAGAATGTTATATAACAAGGGTGTCTGTGTCGGTTAGTAGCTGGGGTTTCAAGATGGGCTCATAATTGTCCCATATAAGGCTCATAAGAAATTACTAGTCCCTTGTGAGGGCTCATATCATTACATGTATATGTTGTGTTTCAAATTTTATTCTGCATGATAAATTTTATGTTTGTGCTATAATAACTTACCATATTCTTTTCTTAAATAAGAGGAAAAGTAGATGGATAGAAAAGTTTGCAGTTTGTGTTGTTTAACCAACCAGACCTAACCAACACTTTTTGAGTAACTCAAAGCTACTGAGGAAAAGAAAGCAGCAGTGAGCAATCCATTGATAACAATACAGCATCCCACAGGAGTAGAATAGTATGCCTTCCAGGAGGATTTGAGGAGGAAACCCGGAAAAACTCCATCCGACCAGCTGAGGAAGAACCAAAAACCAGTTAAGAAACCCAACTGAATGCTTAATAAAGACAAAGGGCAACAAAAATAAAAGGGGATGCTGGACATTATTACCAAGTGAAAAGTAGGAATAATAGAAAGAACAGATTTTAGAATATAAGTAACTTCACCACACAGTCTCCAACAGATGTGTAGTTCTATGTGGTATGTGTTGAACCTGAAAATATAATGACTTATAGTTAATACCTAGTAGAGGGCTGATGGAAGAAGCCCAATAGAGCCAGGTAGAGAGGAAGAGAAACAAATATAAAAGGTCAGACAATAGCAGCAGTGGATAGGTGAGGTGGCCTGCTAATACCACGCCAAAAGAGGCACCCACGGGTGGAAAAAGACATTATTATTATTATTATTTTGTAGTATTTTATTTCTTTTTTTAAAATCTGTCATAATTTTATAATTCTTAAAATTACCATTGATTATTTAAATTATTTAATGGTTTTGTTCCAATTATTTTAAAAAAAACTTTTTGAAAAGTTGTGTTCTGTGCATTCTGATTTGGAATATCACTGGTGACCTGATGCAGATCTTGGTTAATTAAGATCGAAAACATTTGTCGATATGACATTAAAATTTTTGTTACTGGAAGTTAAAGGTTTAGTTGATCGTGCTTAGTATTTAGTTCCAGTCATTAAGAAGTATTTTTTATCATGAGTTCAGCCAATTAGTGAAGACAGTTTCTGACATGATATTCTCAAACCACCCATATAAATTTCTGATCTGACTTGCATTCCAATCATTCAAAGTTGTTGGCTGATGTCTATACTTCTTCAGTCATCTGACTATTAATTAAATGTAATTTCATTAATAAATGCAATTTTTATCCTTATTTTGCTTTACAGATGTCTTAGTACATATTTTTTATTCACTATATCATGTAAATTTTTTACTCATTATATTATTAAATATATTGATATTTAAAAAATATTTAAATAAGTATGTATTAAAATCTTAAAAGGTTTTTTTTTATTGGAAATTTACTGATCATTAAAAAAAGTAAAGATGAAGATTGCAGAATATTTTCAATACTCATTAAAAGTATAGAAAAAGTTAGTTATTAATCTTCACCTTTACCATTTTTCTTCATTATATTGAATGCAAAATATAAGATTTATTGAAAAGTAATAGTTTGTGTTAATATTAAACTTAATTTTAATTTTAAAAAGCTACAAAGATGATTTAAATTGCACTAAGATAAAAATGTATACATTACTCCAGAATGAATTTTTTGTTTCTTATAAAATTTAAAATATTTATTGAAAAGCTATTTTGGTTATATTAGATATTTCGTCTGAATGCTGAGGGCCAATTGGGTGTTGGAGAAAGATGTATAGAAGCTGACTCAAATCATGTCAAATTGGTATTTTGCCGACAAGGAACTGTCAATGGTCCCTGGAACTATGATCCAGTAAGTTTATCTGCAGTTTGGTTATTATATTTGTTTATTTTATTGATAAATTTGAAAAATTTCTATTTTTTTAATTCTGAAATTTGATACCCTTTATCATTTGTATAAATATTTTGCTATCTGCTTCAGAATCAAGTGTTAATGACATTCAATAAATTTAAATGTATAAGTTAAGGCTTTTATTTTTTATATTTTCAAAATATTAAATAATTTAGTCAGAAACATCAATGTCCAAATTTGATAGTTATTTATGATACATGCTTCTTTTACTAAATTTTGATCTTTAGTAATAATTAATACATAAATAAAATAAATTATATCCCTTAATTTCTAATCAGTTCCAATGCTGTCTAAATTTCATTGCTTTTAATGTTTAAAGATAATCATTTAATTAAAAGCTTATACTTTTTTCCTATTAGTTTACAATATTTTGATTTTTTTATGATTATATATATTGTATAAATAAGCTACGGTGGATACTGGGTTTAGCAAATACAGTACTTAGTAGACAAAAAGTCTGGTCCTGGTTATAGTAAGTTAGTAGGACTATTGATGTATTTTTACTATGATTAAGCACAGACTGCTTCTTTGAATAATTGACAAAAATTTTCTATCCTTCTTACTCTCCAAAACCTCTGTTAAGTGAATAGTACAAAGGATTGCATATTTCTTATTAATATCTAAACAAATTGCTGTTTACATTCAATACTATCAGTTTTTACACTTTTATTTTTAGATAATACTTTGACACACTATATAAACATTGGTATAGTGACACCAGCATGTCTCTTTTGAGTAATAATAGGGAGATTCAGAGAATAGAAACTCCAAATAATTTTGAAGAAGGAAAGAATAACAGCAGCTGAATGAATCAAGGAATCAGTTTGCTTTTGTTATTCTTTCTTCCTTCAAAAGTAATGAATCAAAAATTGGTATTATAAATATTCTGCTTGGAAAGATTAGATAGCATAATCAGTAATGTTACTTCTAGAATGCAGTATTTGGAGTCCCATTTCAGGCCAGCTCTTTTCTTCTAAATTTCTCTAAATTAATTAATCATTAATAGAGAACACTTCACACTGAGTGTTAAATAATTCTCACTCAAAACCTAAAGTCCGGTGTTGGAAGAAGGACTCTGGAGGAGCCTGAAAATGTTAGTGAATTTTTTTCCAACACTAGACTTTAGGTTTTGGATGAGAATCATTAATTTCTAATAATTAACTTTAGTAGAAAATGGCATTTAATGTTTCTAGTACTAAATTATGTTAATTAATTATTGTATACAAATAACTTTATAATGTTGGTGACTGGCTGTTCCCAATTTCTGTTCTTATCAATATTTTTTACAAGATAAAATTGTATATCAATTATTTAAAAAAATATTTTATATATTATGAAATGTCTATTTTTAACAAATATTATAGATAGATGTTTAAAAAATATTAATGATACCTCTCCTAAACAGTTTTTGGTTCTGAGTGTGTCCATTAAATCCTAAGCACAATTATTCATAATGACTATAAAAGAAGATTTAATATAGACAAGTATGGATAAGTCTAACAATAAAATTTTAAAATTTTCTTTGTTGATTTTAAGCTTTTGTTTAATTTTTCTGTTCAATTTAGATAATTTTGAACTTATTTGAAAGTGGAATATGTAAAACATTGTATTGCTGTATTTTTGTGGAATGACTGGCATGCCGCATAAAAAGGGGGAGACCAGCATGCTGGAAACCCCTGAGTATCGGCATGCCAGTTAAATTGCAAATAAAATATAAAATTAATCAGATCTTACAAAGCTAGTTGTTAGACTTTAGAGAAAACATTCTTCCAAGTACAATAAAATAATAACATTGTAATTTGACTTAAAGTCAAGAGGAAAGTTTTTATTTACAAGACAATAAAATAACTAATGTCAATTATTGACTTATTGACTGGTAGTAGTAGTAGGTCAGTCAGTCAGTATGGGTTACACTGAGCATCTACCCTGACCTTAAAAATTAAGGATCCATTTTTCTTTTATCTTTTATTTAATAAAGACCATTTTCCAGTTACAGGAACCAAAGATATAGGACAAAATAATTTTTTGGCTCATACACATTGTCTTTATTATATATTGGAATAATCAAAGATTCAATCTAATTCATATTTCTGGAAAACTAGAATTTATTTTAATAGAGTTAAAAACTTCCACAACTGTAGAAAGGAACTTTTCTGAAAGACACTTTAAATATTCTGTTCTAATAAAATCAATTTCATGTGAGGTACCAGCTTTAAAATGATCAATTGCTCTTTTTACCTCCTCCAATGTAAAATCTGTAAAACACTATCTCTGTTGGAACACTTTATACACATCCATTGACAATTGTTCATCATTAATAATTAAAGAATGTTCTTTAGAGAATTTAGCAGCATAAAAATTGAATCATCTTTCCAAGGTAATTGTTGAACTATAATTTGGTGCACTTTTACATTTAAAACTATTAATTGTTTACCAGAATATTTCAGAATTAAATTGCATGAAACCTGTCTCCTATTTAAGTTCCAAAAATAAGACTGTTTTTCTTTTGACATAATACTTTATACTCTTTCAAATAGTTTTTATACAAATCATAATGTTCTATTGTATTTAACTTTTTCACCTTAAGCAATTTCCACAGATTTTTTTCTTGTGGTATAACACTATCATACCATACATTTCTTATATGACTTTTATGAGGAGTGGATTTAACATCGTGAATTAAGTCCAGGGACATTCCTGCTTTAACTATACAATCCACTAGATCATTAGATATGAGGTTTCTTCCATATTCATGGAATTTCCATATTCATCTGATAAGATGCTATCTAGTGTGACAGTAAATGAAGATTTTTTAAATTTGTCCCTCCATATTGCACATTTACCGAAAAATTGTCTGTAAGCAACTCTAGTTGATACAAAGGGATCATTGATAGTAATACAGGTAAGTGATCAGAACCTATCTCTGATAAAACACACAAGTCATTTACAACATGAAAAAATATTTCTTGTGACACTATCACAAAATCAATTACACTGCCTTCCTTAGTTGTATGGTAGGTAAAATTACCTTCATATCCTGGCAATAAGCCATTCAAGCAAACAAGATTATTATCCTCATGGTAGGGAATTTTCCCTCTATTGTTAACAATAGAATATTTTGAAGCTCTCAATGCAATTTGCCGGTCACCAGTGAAACATGACAAATAATCAGAATGTCCCATTCTAGCATTAAAATCTGCACATAAGATCAAGTTAGTTCCATGTAGTGAGTAGTTTTCTATAAGCAACAAACTATTCTGAAATCATCATCATAATTATTCTCAGGCAGAATATATGACACTATTAGCTGGATATTGGTTAAGTCTTCAGTATCTAGTTGTAAAATCAGCACAGCACAAATTGTGACTGAAAAATCAGTTTAACTTCAGAGACTGTGTTTAATCCACCACTGGGACTTCCAGGACACTCATAGCTATGATAAATTTTATAATCATTACAAAGCATTGATTCAATTATGTGAGATGTATGCTATGTTTCTACCAGGCAGAACACAACCATTCTGTATATCAGATTCCAGAAATTAGGAAAGCAATACTTATTATTTAAACCTGCGATATCATAAAATAGAAGTTTCATATTATCATTATTATCCAAGTTCAGAACTTTATATTTGTCATCCTTGTCCTTTATGTCATCCTGCTGTTTATCATTGTAAACTATATTAATAAAAAAGATTGTTGTCCATCTTTCTGGAAAATTTCACCTTTATAATTATATGCAAATATCTTATCATCTATAATTAATCTGTTATATTGCAATTTAACATTCCTAGCTCCTTTGAATGCATTTCTTTACCATGCAGCCTTAATTTGTTTCTGATGGTTCTTGTATTATTCGAGTAATCATCATTAATGAATATATTTAAACATTTTAAATTACTAACATTTTTATATACTTTTAATTCATCTTCAAAACTGATCAATTCACAAATAATTAATCTTTTTCCATTTTTTTTTAATTTTCTAATTCTAGAAGCATGCTTAATGTTTACATCTGTAACCTTTAAGTGATTGTTAAAAAGTTTCTGAACTTTAAATAAACTATTGGCCATTTTATCATTACCCTCTCTATACCTGATATAACAATATTATTCCTTCTTTCTTCTAATCCTATCTTCTAATCTCATTAACTTTTCATGCAAATTATTACATATTGCATCAATTTTTGTAATTTATTCGTCATTTTTAACATAGCCTTTTTCTCTATCAATTTCAAAAACTGAGAGCCTGGATTCAAGATCTACCAAATCAGTGTCTATATTTTCAATCCACACTTGCATTCTATCTAAATGCTCTAAAAGAATCTGTAATTTACTACTTGAAAAAGCTTGTAATTTCAACAAAAGTCAAATTCCTTATTGAATACTCCTTTTCGGCACTTATATAAGATGAGATCAGCTGTTCCATTGACTCAACTGAAACATTCTCTTCACTTCCAATTCATTCTCTTACATTTCGTGATCTGTCTTGAGATAGTGGCAATAAAGTTTTCTTTTTCCAAGATGGAAATTCTGTCATTTTCCAAGGAAAAAACAAAAATGAGTCAAATCACAAGAGAGCAAAAAATTCACTCCAACAGCAACAACAGTCAGACAGTGCTCCCCATTTAATGAATGTACTTTTAATTAAAAATTATTTCACAAAATACCATAAATTTATTTAATATTTACAAAATTTTATATCTTAAGATGTTTTTACTTCAGTATCAATAAGTATAGCATGTAAAAACTCTTTTTTTTTAATAAGTTTATAAAGTATTTAACATTTGGTTTTTGATAAAAATATATATTAAAAAAAATTTTAAATTTTTAAATTATTTATGTTTGGTATTGAACATAAATTAGAATTGATGATTAAATTACTTTTTAATTTATATTGAATATTATATTTATAATAATTTTAAAAACTTTTTTTACAGAATTCTAAAGTATTATATCATAAAATTCATAAAAAGTGTTTGGAATTAAACCACCAAACAGGTCATCTTGGTTTGCAGTCGTGTAAAGAAGCCATAAATGGCCAGAAGTGGATATTTAGGGAACTGAAAGTATCGTAATATTTTTTAAGAAAGTAAATTCTATCCAAGAACATTTAAAAATCAGTAGTGACTTTGTACCAAGTTGAAAGTAAATGTTGTCTTTCATTCAGCAAGTTCTATTTATACTTAAACAATGTTTTTAAAAGGCATTCCTTATACTTTTAGAATGACTCCATTCCTTTATATCTTGTTAAGACAAGTACAGTATATTGTTCTCAATAAAGTAATTAACTATTACAAATATTATACAATATTCAAAATATTTACAGAGTACTTTCCCAGATAATCATTGCCACTATTTTCAGATGTTCAAATGTATGCCAATATACAACCCATCTTTCATACAAATTATTCTTGTAGTATCAGGTTAAAATAATATACTTTTTAATGTCAAGTAATACTATTTACACTTGTAATTGTTATCTATTAAATGTGACATAGCACATTTGTAACAATATATTTGTGGTGATTGTATTTTGTTTAATAAATCGGGATTTGTTAAATTTAGACTTAATTTTTTAAATTTTCTTTTTGGTTATCGGTGTTTTGTCTTTTCAGCTTTTTGTAATGTTAAATAAGTAAGACTAACAATTTCATTTTTCTGAGTAGTTGTAGCTTTAGAAAATAATTTACAAATGTGAATAATATTGAAAGATACTTATTGAAGGACATTGCTCAATCCAATAATGAATATAGAAACTCTCAACTTCTTTGCTTGCTGTTATATTTTTATACTAACGTAAACAAAACTGGTTATAAAAACAGTCAAACCTTGGGTTTCGAACAATTCGGTTTACGAACATATTTTTGAACCTCTTTTTTCTCCCTCTGTTTCCGAACAAGCTACTTGGCAGAGCCAGTCATCGATGGTCAACTTCCAATACTTCGATGACCCCATCAAAATAATTAAAACTGGCCTTTACACCGAAACTAAAAATAAAATTTCAATTAAAATTGGAATCAAATAAATTGAAACATAATATTTCTGAACGTGTGAATAAAGTACTTGTTGGTCTTGATTGATTTGATTACATCTCATCCAAGCAGAGTTGATTCGCTATTTATAGCACTTTGTTGGCGGTGAGAGAAAGAGAATACATGAAATAATAATATGTATATTATATTGCTTTTACAGGTATTTTTATGCACGGAATACAGCTAAAAAGATAAGAAAGAAAAAAAGTTTTTTGGGTCGAGAACGGTTTAATCCATTTTATATTGTTTCTTATGGGAAAATTTGTCTCGGTTTTAGAACAAATTTTAGGAACTAATTAAGTTCGAAATCCTAGGTTTGACTGTAATACATTAGTATTATATGCAAATAAGCTGGATGGCTGAGACAACCGGGCGTGCACAGTTTAAATTTCATCACTTGCGGTGCTAATGTCAGCTTGATGTATACCTAACTTCCTGTAGTGAGTAAATAGTGTAAACTGAACGGGTAGTTTTAATCTACTTATAAAAATATGGAGTTAAAGAATGTAACAGTTGCCGAATTACGAAAGAAGTTAATCCTATATCTTAACCCTCTTGATTTTTACCTATAGAGAGGTTTCAAGTCGACATCATGAGTGACGTCGTGAGCATGTGCAATTGTCAGGCGCTATCTTTGTGGTTTGTTTACGTTTTATTTGTGTTTACGCACGCTTTAGCTGGAGTTCGTGTGTTGTTTATTCGTCGCGAATATCACTATGGTGAATTGTGTAATTGGGTGTAATGCTAGTTCACTCAAGAACAAAAGAACGTCATTTTTTAAAATTCCTGACATTATTTGTCATCGAGAACCTCAAACTGAGGAGTTTACACGACGAAGGCCATTTGCACGAGAATTAACCAGAAAATTTTCAATATGGATAAAGTGAATGTCAATACAAGAGTTCGTCAGAAACATTTCAGGTAAGCAATAACATTTTGATTATCTAATTATTTATTGATAACTAGTAAACTTTTGCATGAGTATCATGAAGTGTGTACAAATCCCTTTGCATAAATCCCTTCGTTAATACCGACAAAATAAAAAATAATTTTAACAACCGCAGATTTTAGTTTGAATAGATAATGATTGCGTTCTACTTTTATTTTTCACCTTTCAGTTTGTTTTCTTAGTCTCTGCTTGTAATAAATATACGGTAGAGTTAATAAAGTATTAAGCAAAGCTTAGCAGATGAAGAATTAGAAATGAATTGTGAACTAATTGTCCTTCAATCTAATTTACATAAATATGTGTGTATTTTTGAGATATAAACCAATAATTTCCATTGTTCATCTACAAACAGCTAAGTTAGATTATTTTGGTGAGCAACATTAAACATTTCTGTAAGATGTTACTTTTTACAATGATTTTTTTTACATTAGTAACAAACAAACATTACATAGTAACCTTCAAGTCGTTCCTGACAAATTATTATTTATCATTTATATATAACATACCATAATGATATAAAGTATTATTATTAAAAAGAACTTATTATTGGAAAAGTTTTTTATCCCAAAGGAAAACCTTCCTCATTTTATGATGAGTCATCACCAGATTGTGTGCTAACANGGCTACTATCTCTTCATAAATTTAAAATTAGAGTGCAATTAATTTTAAACTTGGAACATTTTGGAAGTAAAGACTTGGTCTAGAGTGAAACTCAAACTCGCAACTCCTGCTTATCCTATAGATGCATTGCCAGTTACACTATCCAGACCGCCATCTGATTCACTTTCAGAACTATTAATTTAGATATAACCATACAGACTGAGGATGGCATATTGTGTCCTCTATGGCTCTCAGCCAACTTATGCTTTAATGCAGTGTTTCTCAACCTCTAAAAAATCGTCGCCCCCTTCAATAAAACTGTTACGTAGTATCACTCCTTCAGTTCAAAATTCCGATGCCAAGGGCCAAGGCTAATGCCAAATTCGTACTTCATTGATTAGACTAGTGACTAGTATAATGTTATTTGTTTAATTATTGTACGATATAACGAATAAAATATCTAATTATTCGTAATATAATGTTTTACTGTATCGCCCAGAAAATTGTTTTTCACCCCCAAAATATAAATTGTTACTAATCTCCCCCTCAACATGGAAAACGCCCACATGGGGCGATATCGCCCCCGTTGAGAAACACTGGTATAAAGCATCATCTTGTCCTGTCAGACTGCGAGAATAACCAGCCATAAAAGCATCTTTTTTAACTGTGTCCATGATGTAAAACACTGCAGTTCTATTAAGTTTAAATTGAGAGTGAAAAAAGCGCTGCCAACCTGTCAAATAACAAACCACGTGCAAACTAAGCAAGGGGAAGCTAGACCACAAACATGGCGAAGGGGCCGAACAAACGTGCATTTTATTACGTGACATGCGACCTTGAAACCTCTATGGCAGTGGTTCTTAACCAATGTTCCGCAAACCTACCTCGAGGTTCCACGAAAGAAAAGATTTTAAAGTTTTTATTCAAATTTATTCTCATTGCTATATTCGTAGACAATTCTGTTTTTATTTTATTCAATATATTAAAGTTTATTGTTTTATTGTTTCCTGAGAATAGTAAAAATGGAATTGCTTATCAATTTTTGAAATTATTGATGCTAATGCTCCGTTTAATAAAAAGTATATGAATGGTGTTCCTCGGCCTCAGAAAGGTTGAGAACCACTGCTCTATGGACACTTGAAGGCTTTGGTGTATCAGGAAAATATTTAAAACACAGATCATTTAAAGGGCCATATTTAAAACTCAATTAGGTGCATAACATATTTTAATATAATTAACCTCTGGTGTCCGCTGAGGAGGGCAAACGAGTCACTTGACTCCACTGGATCAAGCATTCTAATTAGAGATAGGAGGTTTGGAAGTGGAACCTTATAGCTAATTCCGTAAGGAGTGTCGGAAATTTCTATTCTCTGTCTCACTCATCCGACACCACCATTATTCCGCTATACGAAAGCTCAGGAATTGTGTAATTTCGGCGATACTTACGATGGGACCATATCCCTTTTTTCCCTAGGAAAAGTTGCAGGCAGACGCCCGTGGTGTTAATGTCAGTTTAGCTTGAGTAGGATAGACACGTCTAAAGATGAGCGATTCGATGATTTTCCGATATTGCGGTGATCGGTGACCGTTATTTTTTAATCTTAGTGATTTTTCCGGTACGGTTTCACTGTCACATAGCCCATCCGAATCAGTTTCGTTATGACACGTGATTTATATTCTGCCGATCGAGTCCAGGCTGTCAAGAGGAAGGAGCTGAAGATTTTACCCCGAGTCCAGAGAAGACTTAGGAGCCCGTAGTAATTTTTACCGACAGAAAAATCTTAAGACTTTTTATTAATATTAATAACTAGCTGATATACCCGGCTTCGATCGGAAAAATGATATAAACAATTACCATTGCTTAATATAAGCCATACACCAACGTTTTCTCTCTTAATTATATATAGAAGAACAGTTCTATGTATTTCACTCGTTCAAAAAACAAAAGGTAAAGAGGCCCGCGAGTCTCGTACAAGCTCTCGACTGTTCTGTTTATGTAACTATGTAAATTTTTGTAACTACAATTGATATTTTTACAGTCGGTTCTTCAACGTAGTTACAAAAATCACCGAATATTGAAACATTATATCACTGACGTTTCCGGTAATTTGTCAGTAACGGTATAACTAGATCATCGGTAGTGAAATATCGCTCATCACTAGTGTTTATAAAGAAAGTGAACATCATGTAGTGATAATTAGAAAAAATGTGACTTTATTTATAAGTGTTAAATTTTTATATTTTTCTGCTACTTTCGGGACACTGTTATTGAATTTGTTAAATATTAAAAAAAAATTTTTTTTAACGATATCTATGATAACCTCCATGGTTACCATGGCGATAGTTGCAAACAAACAGAAGTTTACGTTGACACGTGGTTTGGTCGTTTATAAATTTTATTTATGCATTAGACGAATTAGCAATGGATAATGGCTATGGAAATGTCAGTTGGTGGGGATTTAGTCCTGCTTTAGATTTTCAAGAAATTTGTAAGTTCGATATGACAGATTTTAAAGTGAATTTTTCGATTTTGTTTTTTAAAATTTGCATATTGCAACATTCTATTTACAACTGTAGACAGATTTATTATTTAAAAAATAAAATGAATATTAAATTCATAATTAGATGAAAATAAGTGAATAAAAATATCATTAATTGATAAAACTATTTTCGTTTTAAATCAAGCTTTGTACTGTACTTTCTTACCGAAGATTTAGAGTAGTCAGGCCATTGAAAGTTTGTAGGGTTGAACAGGCTCCTTTAGACACTTTATTTACTTTGAACAAATAAAATGCGTAGATCGTTTATTAATAAAATGAAGTTATTAAAAATTTCATTTTTTGTTAGTAAAAATAGCATTAATTTATAGGGATGAGGATTATTGCGGCCCCAAGGTAAAATCCCCGGCTTCCCCCTCTCAACGGCCCATGATGTTACGCTTGGATCTCTGGATTAAAGAATGTCATGGCGAGATGTTTTTGTTCGACGACGAATTAGATTTGGATCTAATACGGAAGAACTATCTTGAAGTTAACGCTTAACGTGTTATAATTTAGTTCAGTATTTTGTCTCATAATTATACCATAGTTTTATTTTATAGATATTTAAAATTCAAAAACGTGTGTCGGAGACACTTCAATGACTTTAACCGGTCGTTAGAAAAAAATGGGACATTATTTTCCGTGTTTTATTTCATTTGAAAAAAAAATTGTGTGGAAAATGGAGGGCGGAAAAAGTTATTTTTAACTAAAATTTATAGGGACTCTGTGTCACTCTATTTTAGACTGAAGTTTAGAATATATAGTTTTTGTTGTTGAATGAATAGCTTTCCTTATGCAAAAATGTAGATTAAAGTAGATTGATGTACTCACGAAAGAACAACATTACAAGGCCCTCTTGAACCAGTATTTCACTGATATATGTGAGCCTGTCAAGGAAGGGTATGTTGATAAACTCCATGTGCATGCCACCAGATTTACCCACACAGGGAAAATCAGTGAATTACACCGCAAAACGGCAAATTGCATACGGCGTTATTGTGAATCGGCGTAAATTGAGCCCATGTAAACTGAGAGTTACCTGTAATCATTTATCAAATAAATTTTTTGATTTCTTAAATGCAATCGGTTATAATTTTTTTAAATTAAAGCTAAAAGCATTTTTTATTTATTTATTGAATGGCTGAATATTTACAGAGAGCAGATCTCTTAAATAATATTAAAATAAATTTGATAATAAAGTCATACAGTTTTGACTCCAGAAGTGGAACTAATTTTTTCCAAAGGAGTCCATATTTATTGGATTATATTGATAACCAGTAGTTATTTTTGGTAGATATTTTCCTAATTGTTAGTGAACAATTCAGAGCAATTGGCTCTATGTCCTATATGCTCTTCCTTAGCTAAGGTCCTACAATATTCTTATTCACCAGACCTGGTTACATGTGATTTCTTTCTTTCTTTCTTATTGATGAAAGTTCTATAATCCCTTCTCTTTATCAGGAGACATACACAACCATAATAACAACTCTTCACCATCCGTATCAGATGCTGAAGAGCTGTGGCATCTCTTGAACACATGTATTTAATATCTTCATCATGTGGATCATGTGGAATCATGTAAATTGTGAAAAAATAGATGCTTAAGTATGTCAGTGGAAGAGTTATGTAAGGAAGAGCATGATAAATTTTAGATTGTAGAAGCTGACAATAAGGGAAAATTTACTCTTCAAATTAAATGACCAGTCTGTATATATATATATATATTTAGTATTATTGAATGAGCTATAAAACAGAAAGCTTCTCTTTATATGAATGTTTAATAGATTAGATTTGTAAAATAAAAATGAATACCAAAACTTCTGTAACAAATCATTTGTTTAATTGCAGATGAAATTCAAAAATTAAACAAAGATACATGTAAGTAAAATTTTATTATATAGAGCATATGAACGCCTTGTTTTTTTTTCTTTCTATTTTCTGGAAAATTCATTTAAATTTTTTCATAAGACACTTACAGTATATTTAAAGTACAGTACATATTTTTATCTGCTATTATATCTACAATCTGTGCTTGAAATTTTTGTTAATTGAGAAAATTTGTACCAGTAAATCTCTGCATTAATCCTAGTTTTACATTGTGTAGAATAGACTATTTATTATAGATTCTTATGTTGTTATTATAGTTTGTGTAAAAGACTGTAGATAAGTTGCAATGAATGTATTAACTTAATAAAACGTTTTCATGTTTTCTTAATTTTTTGAGTAAATTGCAAAACATATAGAACAAATTTGTCTTTTGTGTTAAATAAGCACAATGTAGCATAATACGACCACTTGGCGTGATTCACTTCTTTGTTTCAACGAAAATTGAAATTGAATTGTGCCAAGTGGATTGTGCCAAAGTGAATTGTGCCAAGTGGTCGTTATTACGCTACATTGCGCTTATAGAACAACTATGGAAAATATGACATGGTTTCAAAACATGACAAAAGACAAATATAGTAATAACTTATTCCTTAAACTGCTTTACCAGTATTTATATTTTGCACTCTTCCTAGCACTTTCATGTTCTTGCAACTCATCCATCATCTGGGATATTCACAGTAAATATTAAACAATCATATAGTTATAAAAATCTTATTTGTAGGAAATATTACTGGTGATTTCACATGAGAAAAGCATCAAAATAACAAGGCTATTTAACACAAAAATGTTTAAACTCACACTCTTTAAACACAGGTTATTCTGTACACTTTCCCAAAATTTTTTAAAGTTGATTAATGAACATTTTTACAGCATATTATGCCCCTGTTAATCCTACAGTCCACTCTTTTTCCTTTTCCAATCATTCATTTCTAAGCATTTGGTAAGATTTTACAGTCATTATTATTAAGTTTTCTAAATTTTTTAAAAATCCAGGTTTTGCCCATTTGGCATTTTCTAATTCTTCCTTCATCATCACATCTTACTTAACCTGTACATTTCCATCATATCCTGTATGTGTCAGATCTGTTATCATATTACCTGTTTTTAAGTCACTATTGCACTCCTTCAACCTTTTGCCAAAGATCCGTTTTATTACTCCAATGTATTTCTCAATTTTTTTATTACATTCTCCTACAATCTTCCCAAATAAAGTCTTATTCATTTCATTCTTTCTGGCTATTTCACTAATCCTGCCTGTCTAGCTCTTTTCTCAACTTTTATCCCTGTCATCATCATAAATGCTCCATTCATCAGCATTCTAAATAATACCTTTTTTATACTTCAAAGAGTTTCTTAAATCCATAAGCACATATACAGATTTAAAGGCTTTAAAACAGAATGACTTTAAACATTATTGTTTTAAATTCATACATATTTTTTATGATTTTCTTATGTGAATTAAAATATTCTGAAAGTGAGATTTTTGATGATTATACTTTGATGTTTACTGTGAATATTTCTGATGGTAAGTTAACCTGAAAGCAGTTTAAGAAATAAAATTAATTACAGTTACTAATTATTAAATGAATGTCGTAAGTATTAAGTTTTATAATTTTGAAAATTAAAAATTTTTTTAAATTAATAGATTATTGTTTTATGTACAGTACAGTAATTTAATTAAATATTGAAATATGTAGTATATATTAAAATAAATAACATCTATACATTTTATTCTGGACAATAGTAAATATTTTAATTGTTGGTGCTGGTGATCCTCGACACGTATTAAAATCTATATCACAATGTCATCAACATAAAAAGAAAAATCTTCAGGTGAGAAAGATTTGATGTAAGAGTGCAAAGACAATTTTTATAATCTGTTTGATTAAATTACAGTTCTTCATAATTGACAACTGCATTGAGATTTATGCACGTTACATGATTTTATTGAAATTAGCCATGGAATCAACTACTAAAATAAGTTTGCAAGGTATAATATTAAAATATTTTTATTTTTATGAATGAAGAAAAAATTTCATAATGAAAAATATTTCAACCTTAAGCAGAAGTAAAGTAAAAATAATTTAAATTGAATTAGTAATTTTACAAAATAAAAAGAATATAATTTATAAATACTAAGGGAGATAAATAAATGGCTAAGGGAAGAATCCTGGAAAGATTAGCAGCTTAAAACAAAAATTTCAAAGTTTTTCAAAATATAACATATAATTAATATATTAAACTTTGTTTCAATTTTATCAAAATAAATGAAATTCAGGTGTATTCTGTTTAGTGATCTAAGTACAACATCAACAGGCATGTACACAGCATGACTCAATGCACTGTGTTGTACACAACCCATACAAATATTGCAGCACTTAGCCAATTTTTAGTTAATGAAGATGTTTAGACACAACTTGAACATGCAACCTTATGTTCAGCAGCTTGCAATCTTTAGCAATAGTCTGCCAAGCATGCTAACAAAAAGGTATCTTCCATGCAATTAAATTGCAGGAGTCACCCTGGCTTTTTTATAACCCATTTGCCAAACACATTTTTTTATTCATCAAAATAAAAAGTTATTCACCAGGTTACCAACCTAGTGAATAACTTTTAACTTTGCACCAACCTGAAATAAAGGATGACCAACAATATAAAAAAACTTCAGAGTTTTTATGACTGAGTTTCCCAAGCAATTTTACTTTTGTTTATTAACAGTAAAATTGTGTTGGACCAAGACTGATTCAATGTCTGTGATACTACTTTTCACTAAGTGACTGTTTTTGTTTCTTCCAGACTGCTCTTCCACTTTTTATTGGTTATTTTTAATTTTGAGTGGGTGATAATGCTATAGACCAGCGATTCCCAACCTGTGGTACGCGATAGGTTGTTTAGGGGTACAGAAAAAAGTTAGTTATTATGGCAGAAAAAATAATATATTATGTATCACAAACTAATAGTATTAAAAAATTATTAGGTAAAATATGTTCCTTGCAACAACCACAACTTTATTGTACATTTTTTCATTTACTTTTTTTTCTTTAATTTAAAGTTACAATATGTAAAATTAACAATACGAGCACTCACTAAATTTCTTAAATGAGGGGTACAATCTAGAGATATGACATGTCACGGGGTACGCTAATGAAAAAAGGTTGGGAACCACTGCTATAGACCATAATTATTACAATGCATTCTCCAAACAGAAATACATATTAAAAGCATACAAACAGAATTATCCATATTTGAAGCAGCATTTGGACTCATGATCTGTTAACTTTCAGATTGATAGAATACGTTAAAAAATTGTTCTTAGATATTTATTTTGTGTTCTTTAAGTTACTTGAATAAGTGACTTTTATTCTGTTTAATGTTGAAATAATTTTGAGCATAAATAATTTATTTCTTATCATTAAAATTGAACATTTCAGAAAGAACAGAATTGTTTCTTGAAATATTTGGAAATTCATTAATACGAAGAAGCACTTTTAATTACATTATTAATACTGCTGATCATTTTGTAAGGTTTGTTTTGCATACTTATAAGCTCTTTCAATGACTTGAGATATTTATATTTATTTTATTTGTTAAATTAAGTTTAATGATATTGAATTTAAAAGGCTGTGAAAATAATATTTCGTATGATTAGGAAAAAATCAGTTTGTTTGTTTACTAGAGAAATCATTCTTTAATAAAAAAAAAAAGAAACTGGCTATGTGTGCCTGCATTGCTCAGCTTTGAGGGAGTGGAAGATTTGTGATGTTGGGAGAGGATGATAAAAGCAATTATTGACCTGAGTAGTTATAATAATGATACTGCAAAACACAAAAGAATTGCTCAGGCTAAAATTAACAAGGAGTAGACTTCAGAGATGTTTGGGGAGTGGGATTCCCACAATATTTTTTCTAGGGTTTTGAAGAATATTCATGCCAAATTTGGTGAGAATACATTGAACAGTATAGAACCATTTATCTAACAACTGTACACTTTTGTATGCTAAGGAGGAGTTTTGTATGCTAAGGAGGAGGATGGTTTTGGGGTAGCAACCACCCCTCAACCATCCTTTTGTAGCATACTAGCAGTACTTCAACATAAACATGTTGAAATACTGCAGGTATGCTACAGTAAGTTTAGATTGACAGATAAGGAGCCTAGTAAAGAGCAAATTGTCTAGAGTAAGATATTTTATTTCAAGGTGGTTCATAGGAACATTTTTTGAAATAAAATTACAAATATTGTCAAATAATGAGTCATTAGTCATGATCGAGTTTATAAGCCAATAGCTTATCAGACAGAGGGTAATTAGGAATATTTTGATTCAAATTCACCATATCTTTCCAAAGAGATGGTGACTTTGAATCAGACAATAGTAAAGATCTTGATTCCTAGGACAACATCAAAACCGACATAAAAGACAATGTAATAACCAAATTGGAAGATACTGAATCAGGTTAAGGATGAAAACAGTAATTATTCTGAATGTTGTATTTGTAACCCATAAATACTGTTAATAAATGGCTTTGATACTTCAGAAAATGTATGAGTAATTAAGATGTTTCTTTCAATTTTTACCATTCATCTCCAGTTGCAATGTAATAAACCCAAGTCTCAAAAAAATCCCAGGTCTTCAAATAAACTCACCAGGATTTACAATAATTTCACATTTATTGTAATAAAAGTTTTTATATCTAAGAAAAATAATTATTCTATTTGATTTAAATCAAGTTCATGAATTTCTAGAATTTATATGAAGTTACAGNAAGTATTATATCATAAAATTCATAAAAAGTGTTTGGAATTAAACCACCAAACAGGTCATCTTGGTTTGCAGTCGTGTAAAGAAGCCATAAATGGCCAGAAGTGGATATTTAGAGAACTGAAAGTATCGTAATATTTTTTAAGAAAGTAAATTCTATCCAAGAACATTTAAAAATCAGTAGTGACTTTGTACCAAGTTGAAAGTAAATGTTGTCTTTCATTCAGCAAGTTCTATTTATACTTAAACAATGTTTTTAAAAGGCATTCCTTATACTTTTAGAATGACTCCATTCCTTTATATCTTGTTAAGACAAGTACAGTATATTGTTCTCAATAAAGTAATTAACTATTACAAATATTATACAATATTCAAAATATTTACAGAGTACTTTCCCAGATAATCATTGCCACTATTTTCAGATGTTCAAATGTATGCCAATATACAACCCATCTTTCATACAAATTATTCTTGTAGTATCAGGTTAAAATAATATACTTTTTAATGTCAAGTAATACTATTTACACTTGTAATTGTTATCTATTAAATGTGACATAGCACATTTGTAACAATATATTTGTGGTGATTGTATTTTGTTTAATAAATCGGGAATTGTTAAATTTAGACTTAATTTTTTAAATTTTCTTTTTGGTTATCGGTGTTTTGTCTTTTCAGCTTTTTGTAATGTTAAATAAGTAAGACTAACAATTTCATTTTTCTGAGTAGTTGTAGCTTTAGAAAATAATTTACAAATGTGAATAATATTGAAAGATACTTATTGAAGGACATTGCTCAATCCAATAATGAATATAGAAACTCTCAACTTCTTTGCTTGCTGTTATATTTTTATACTAACGTAAACAAAACTGGTTATAAAAACAGTCAAACCTTGGGTTTCGAACAATTCGGTTTACGAACATATTTTTGAACCTCTTTTTTCTCCCTCTGTTTCCGAACAAGCTACTTGGCAGAGCCAGTCATCGATGGTCAACTTCCAATACTTCGATGACCCCATCAAAATAATTAAAACTGGCCTTTACACCGAAACTAAAAATAAAATTTCAATTAAAATTGGAATCAAATAAATTGAAACATAATATTTCCAAAAGTGTGAATAAAGTACTTGTCAGTCTTGATTGATTTGATTACATCTCATCCAAGCAGAGTTGATTCGCTATTTATAGCACTTTGTTGGCGGTGAGAGAAAGAGAATACATGAAATAATAATATGTATATTATATTGCTTTTACAGGTATTTTTATGCACGGAATACAGCTAAAAAGATAAGAAAGAAAGAAGAAAGTTTTTTGGGTCGGGAACGGATTAATCCATTTTATATTGTTTCTTATGGGAAAATTTGTTTCGGTTTTACAACAAATTTTAGGAACTAATTAAGTTCGAAATCCTAGGTTTGACTGTAATACATTAGTATTACATGCAAATAAGCTGGATGGCTGAGGCAACCGGGCGTGCACAGTTTAAATTTCATTACTTGCGGTGATAATGTCAGCTTGATGTATAGCTAACTTCCTGTAGTGAGTAAATAGTGTAAACTGAACGGGTAGTTTTAATCTACTTATAAAAATATGGAGTTAAAGAATGTAACAGTTGCCGAATTACGAAAGAAGTTAATCCTATATCTTAACCCTCTTGATTTTTACCTATAGAGAGGTTTCAAGTCGACATCACGAGTGACGTCATGAGCATGTGCAATTGTCAGGCGCTATCTTTGTGGTTTGTTTACGTTTTATTTGTGTTTACGCACACTTTAGCTGGAGTTCGTGTGTTGTTTATTCGTCGCGAATATCACTATGGTGAATTGTGTAATTGGGTGTAATGCTAGTTCACTCAAGAACAAAAGAACGTCATTTTTTAAAATTCCTGACATTATTTGTCATCGAGAACCTCAAACTGAGGAGTTTACACGATGAAGGCCATTTGCACGAGAATTAACCAGAAAATTTTCAATACGGATAAAGTGAATGTCAATACAAGAGTTCGTCAGAAACATTTCAGGTAAGCAATAACATTTTGATTATCTAATTATTTATTGATAACTAGTAAACTTTTGCATGAGTATCATGAAGTGTGTACAAATCCCTTTGCATAAATCCCTTCGTTAATACCGACAAAATAAAAAATAATTTTAACAACCGCAGATTTTAGTTTGAATAGATAATGATTGCGTTCTACTTTTATTTTTCACCTTTCAGTTTGTTTTCTTAGTATCTGCTTGTAATAAATATACGGTAGAGTTAATAAAGTATTAAGCAAAGCTTAGCAGATGAAGAATTAGAAATGAATTGTGAACTAATTGTCCTTCAATCTAATTTACATAAATGTGTGTGTATTTTTTGAGATATAAACCAATAATTTCCATTGTTCATCTACAAACAGCTAAGTTAGATTATTTTGGTGAGCAACATTAAACATTTCTGTAAGATGTTACTTTTTACAATGATTTTTTTACATTAGTAACAAACAATCATTACATAGTAACCTTCAAGTCGTTCCTGACAAATTATTATTTATTATTTATATATAACATACCATAATGATATAAAGTATTATTATTAAAAAGAACTTATTATTGGAAAAGTTTTTTNGTTTGTTTGTTTACTAGAGAAATCATTCTTTAATAAAAAAAAAAAGAAACTGGCTATGTGTGCCTGCATTGCTCAGCTTTGAGGGAGTGGAAGATTTGTGATGTTGGGAGAGGATGATAAAAGCAATTATTGACCTGAGTAGTTATAATAATGATACTGCAAAACACAAAAGAATTGCTCAGGCTAAAATTAACAAGGAGTAGACTTCAGAGATGTTTGGGGAGTGGGATTCCCACAATATTTTTTCTAGGGTTTTGAAGAATATTCATGCCAAATTTGGTGAGAATACATTGAACAGTATAGAACCATTTATCTAACAACTGTACACTTTTGTATGCTAAGGAGGAGTGGTTTTGGGGTAGCAACCACCCCTCAACCATCCTTTTGTAGCATACTAGCAGTACTTCAACATAAACATGTTGAAATACTGCAGGTATGCTACAGTAAGTTTAGATTGACAGATAAGGAGCCTAGTAAAGAGCAAATTGTCTAGAGTAAGATATTTTATTTCAAGGTGGTTCATAGGAACATTTTTTGAAATAAAATTACAAATATTGTCAAATAATGAGTCATTAGTCATGATCGAGTTTATAAGCCAATAGCTTATCAGACAGAGGGTAATTAGGAATATTTTGATTCAAATTCACCATATCTTTCCAAAGAGATGGTGACTTTGAATCAGACAATAGTAAAGATCTTGATTCCTAGGACAACATCAAAACCGACATAAAAGACAATGTAATACAAATTGGAAGATACTGAATCAGGTTAAGGATGAAAACAGTAATTATTCTGAATGTTGTATTTGTAACCCATAAATACTGTTAATAAATGGCTTTGATACTTCAGAAAATGTATGAGTAATTAAGATGTTTCTTTCAATTTTTACCATTCATCTCCAGTTGCAATGTAATAAACCCAAGTCTCAAAAAAATCCCAGGTCTTCAAATAAACTCACCAGGATTTACAATAATTTCACATTTATTGTAATAAAAGTTTTTATATCTAAGAAAAATAATTATTCTATTTGATTTAAATCAAGTTCATGAATTTCTAGAATTTATATGAAGTTACAGGTATTGATGATATATAAAATTAATATTTTTTCAACTTCTGAATTCTGTATCTTGTTTTATAAATTTGTATGTTATTTGTATATAATAAAATGTGTTAAATTATATATAATAGAAATGATCTTGTTATATTTTTTATGTTATTATTAGATTAGTGACTGATTTTTCAGAACTGGAAAAGGAAATGCCATTTATAAATTTAAATGCATTAAAGGTATTTTTTATATTGTTAATTATTTAATTTTTTTTTTAATTTTTAATAATAATTATTATTATTCAGTATAAAGAGATTGATGGTTTAGAAGCTGTATTTAAATTATGGAGAAATCCCAAACCTGAAGCTTTTAATATTGCAAACTGCTGGTGAGAAATAAAAATTAAATTAAAAATTATGAAATTAAATTAAACTTTTAAAAGTTACTTAATTAGTGTCAATGGAGAATTAAATATAAGAATTATTTTTAAAGTTTTTATTAAAATTGTACTTTCTGTAATTTCTCAGGGATTTTCGTTTGCGACAATATCTTGGCACACGTTATGATTCTAAACAAGGTGTATTTGATTGGGATTTTAATATGCAATTGAAAGATAGAAGGGTAAGATATTATTATTATTTATTTTTTTAAATAACAAATAGACAGACTGGGTGGCTGAGGGAGTTATGGCTTTGGCCAACCACTCTTGGGGACCAGAATCAAACCTGAATGGATCAAACAATCCCTGGAATTTTTTGGGTATGGTCCATATATAGAGACACTCTCTCATCACTTGGCTGCCTCATTGTTGGCCTGGCAGAAACCAGTGGACCTGAAAAAAGCCCTCTTGGTGCCTACAAGGCAGAAAGAGTTTAAAAAAACAATAAGAAATAAAGAACTCCATAAATTTATAAAATGTATTAATATATTTTTCAAAATGAAACAGAAAAGTATACTCTGATTTATCTTAAATATTCTCCATTAGCATTCTATTTTATAACTTCATTCAGTTAAGTATACAGTGGATGATCAGTTAACGAACAGTTCAGATAACAAACAAATCAGATAACAAACACTTTCACGAAAGATTTTTATGATCGGACAATGAACACTTTACTGAACAAACATAAAAAGAAGCAATGGAAAGTAACAAATACCGATTGATTTTCCCTTGTCTTTGGGTAACAATTCGAAACCTTTCAGAGCACGGGAGACGTCAGATGTCAACATCAATGCTCAACGTAATACTGATCGGATAGTATAATATTCCTCCGAATTTTGAAATTCTTCCTTGTAATTCCAGCTTTTTGTTTACCTTTCTGACAAATAATTTTTTATAGTATTCACGAGACTGTCGGATGGGCACTTATTAAGTTTTGCATTGGGTTTATTTACGAAATGGGAAAGTTTAACTGCCCATCAGATATTCGTTAACATTTTAATACCAAATTTCGAATGTCATCTGGGCCTTGCATTTAAATAATTTTTTGTGGGCTAGTTGATTTCTGTTCTCTGAATTTTTGTAAGTGCTTTTCTGAACTTTTTATTTAAAAAAGAAACTGATAATATTATGGAGCCTAAAAAGAGGAGTGTCAAGAACTGTGCTCACCATAGAAACCAAGTAAGAGATAATAGCCAAGGTAGAAAGTGGGTACAAGATGTCTGATGTTGCTAGGCAGTGTGGCTTGAACAGGTCTACAGTAGGCACAATCTTATCTATGAAAGATATATCAAGAAGTCTCAAACTGCTAATGAAGTAATGAAAATGACATCTGAGAAATAAAGAGCATTTTAGAGCTCATAATGGAAACTGATCTAATGACAGAAGAACTCCAAGAACTCTCAAATGAAGAATACCAAGAAACTCAGCAAGATGTGTTTTCTTTTGAAAAAGAGGATTAATGTCAATATCTGCTATTAAACATTTTTTGAAGAAGTGGGAGGATGTCAGAACAACGGTTTTAGAATGGCATCCAAACCAGGTTGAGTTTAATAGGCTCGGGGATCTCTACAATTACAATGTTGTTAATTACTTCTGAAAAATCCTGAAGGAGAGAGAAAAACAATCGACATTGGATAGATTCTTTAACCCCCACAAATGGAAAAACATGAGTAATAAAAGTGCAAGACTGTGTATATGTGTATTTATATATATATATATATATATATAAANCGTTCTTCGCCGTGTATTTAAAGGGGATTATAATGCAATTATGAGTGTTAATCTCAGTGCTTATAGGGACCAACATTTCAAGGTCAGTCATCTTTTACTCCTTATAGTAAAACTCCTCTTCCAAATAATACGATTTAACTTTAGATAATGGACGGTTTTTGCCGCGAGACTAACGAAAAGTGTCAGTTACATGCGAATTAACATTTTGTTTTAAAACGAAATTAGGGAAGTAGAGTGGAACAAGAAAGAAAACTGTTGACGTCGTGTACCCTTTACGTAGGTAATCTGTCATTTTATACCACAGAAGAGCAAATCTACGAATTGTTTTCCAAATGCGGAGACATTAAGAGAATTATCATGGGTCTGGATCGATTCAAGAAGACACCTTGTGGATTCTGTTTCGTAGAGTATCCTTTTTTTCTCTTCTATTATGGTATTATTTCGCGACCGAATGGATAAAACAGCTAGACACTAACGTGATGGAAAACGTGACAGACTCGTGGAGTTTTCTGGATTTTCTTGGTGTGTCTGGTACTTAAATGGATGCCGGAAATTCCTCTTTGGATTCGCCTGTCCTTGGTGGATCGCCGGTGCTGTCGAGAGCTTGCGTGGGTCTGTGGTAGAGTGACTCCTTTGCATTCCATATGAACTCTGTTTTGACCTGTTGTTGTTGTTATTCCTTGTTAATGTTAATTTAAGCGGGATAAATCATAGCCGAATTAACTTTTGTCGTGTAAATGTAGTATTAGGTATTGTTTGAATATGATGTCTATACTGGGAAAGTGTGTGTACAGATTTTGTAATGGATGGATTTTTATCACTAGTCTAAGAGTTACTTAGTGCAATGTCATCAGACTTGTCTTCTGTGATAGATCAGTGAATTTCACTTTTTTCTATTTCCTATTTTTAAAATTTATCTTGCCTTGACAGGAAATATGTATAAATTAATGTATGGTAGATGTATTTTACAGAAATGCTTGATTTCAATATTAGCAGATCAAGCGTGACATTAGCAAAGAGATATTTAAAAATTTGGTGGAAAAATATGATAGTTAGGGAGTATGTAATCAAAAAGGACTTGAAATTAGTGACATCATATTTGAACAATTTCATAGCAGGCCTATCTAGCTCTATTGAGCCCATTTTGCATGTTTTTTGTTTTTGTTTTGAACAAATGAATTGTGTGGAATGTTTCTTCATTAATAAATAAAAAGCAGTCTAAAAAATTTTTTGTTAGTGAAAATAATTTATAGAGTGAGGAACTACTATGGGCCTATAAGTTTTCTCCAGGCCTGGAGTAAAAAAATTCCCAATTTCTTTTGATTGTTGTGCAGATTATATATGTGTACGATTGCCATGAAACTTTGGGAACTTGTTTAATACACTCCCAAGAAGGTTTCTGGCATAGTACATTTATCCTACGATAGATGGTGCATGTGTATACAAGCATTTCATCATGAGCATTTCAGCGCAGTTAGGAGTTGAAACTTGAAATTTGGTACACAGTTAGAGTATGTCACGAGAATGCACACTAAGAAGGGACTTTTTGAAATCCCCCACGGGGAAAGGGACAGAATTAAGGCTTCAACAATGAAAGTGTTAAGAATGGAAATGTTAACAATGGAAGTGTTGTCTTTCACTTGGGCAGTTTGGTTTTTTCCAGAGGGGGTCAGCATAGTAGGACGTTTCACAGGGGATCCTGTCTGAGATGGACCTGAATGCGAGCAACTGATCCTACTCTGGATTGGACCGGATGATCCCCTTAAAAGCAAAGGAACAAAGATCCCCAGATAATTTTTCAAGGTCTCTCAACTGAGTTAGAAGACAGCTAGAGTTTCCTTGGAAGGTATTATGTGCATAATTACATCTAGATTAGGACAGCAGCCATCTGATCATTGAGACCAGCATCCGGAGCTGGCAGATTCTATGGACACTCCCACCGAAGTAGCCCATCTCTAAGTAAAGGAAACTGTGCTCAAAGAAAGATCGTAAGGTGACTTTTGGAGGAACCCTCTCCTTTCTCCCTTTTTAGTTAGAACATGTTCTAACTAAAAAGGGAGAAAGGAAAAATCATTTGATCAGGAACTAATTGTACGGTCAACCCTTGGGTACATCACTACTAATACTGTATTTGGCAACACTAGCGCGATGCGAATCAGTTATCTATCATCATGAGTCTGGCAAATTTATATTACAAATATTTTCTGTATTTTGGTTTAATAAAGCATTAAAATAGGTACACGTACCTAATTATTATTTTTTTACCTACTTATTATATATTTTATTTTAGAATTTATTATTAGTTTGTTTAATTGGGGCAGCCACTTAAATGGACCAAAATGGATTAGTCCCAACATGTCCCAATTAAGTGGAATTGACTGTATATTTAAACACCATACAAATCTATTATATTATGTCGGTGGTGGTGTATATTAGTTAGTTTTAATTATTCAAAAAATTCTAATTTTAAAGTTTAAAATTTTTAATTAAACTTTTTGCCTTTTTTCATATATAGATGAAAAAATTAATTAATTAATTATTTGAAATAATTTTAATTTAAAATATTTTAAAATTAAACTGACATTATTATTATTATTATTATTATTATTATTAATCTAGTCATAGAAACATCTCAAAAGATCTGTAAAAAAGTAGTAGTCTCTAAAATTACATTTTGTTAATTGTGTATTGTAAATTATAATTAAAAATAATAATAATAAATAATAATTTTTTTTACAAAATGAAGTTGATGGGTCAATTATTTATTTTTATGTTTCAGAAAATTAAAATTTTGGAATCAATTTTTTCCAAAATAGTTGAATTTTATATATTAGAATAGAAAGTTTAATAGTGAGAAAATTGCATTTATCCAGAATAAAATGTATATAATGAATATCTGTTATTTCTTCAATATAGATATTGATGGAATAACAGATATTTTATACACACACTTTATTTACATTACATCTTACTTTATTAAGATGGAGACTATATTGAAGGAATATCAATATTCCTTCAATATAATCTCCACCCATCTGTAGGACTGATTGAATGTCTTCTAAAATTATGGCAATGCCATCAGCAGACTTGGTTCTATTTATGTCCACCACTGCCAGAACTATTGCGAGTATAATTTCTTCTTTCAATTTAAAGCAGAACTGTTATATGACAATCCAATTTTGTCAGCAAAGTTCTCAAATTGTTCACCTTCTGTCTCCTTCCAATAGCAATGACACCATTTTTATCTGCCATTCATACACAGAAAGCCTCCTTGATCACATGTTATCATTCACTTGTTTTCATTCTCTTCTGAACTGTTATAGCCATCTTGCAACAGTTTTTTTTTACAATAGACCATTTCCATGAGCTTTCTAGGATCCTTTATGACATTCTTTCATTTTCAAACCCAGGCTCAATCTTTTGAACTGAAGATTGTTTAGGCTGGTAAGTTTGAACAACACCATTTCAAACTACTGCAGTAATATCTTTTGGTGATATGGACATTGTCATGCATAGACATAAGGCACACTTCATTTTATCACACTGCTGTACACAGACCAATATACCACTAGATAGGTGACATTGAAAAACTTGAGACAATGTTTATTGATGTAGTTAGCCTGGGCGAGCAGTTTAAGCAGTAATATGTCACAGATTATAAATGATTTATTGCTGAGAAAAGAAAAACATATGATGAAAAGTACAGATAAGAAAGAAAAGTGTAATAAAGAAATTAGTTTTGTTTACTTTAAATTTAACTAAACGAAACTAAAGTAAATAAACAAACTAAACTAAAGTAAAAAGTAAGAAATAAAACAATAATAAAATAAAATCAGTTGGCATTTAAATGGGAAAAGTGTTGGATAAATTGGAGTTGCTCGTTAAAACCATTCACACTAGAAATTCAAACTGAAAGAACTGTGTTTGAAACATAACATTGTTGAGTCACTTGACCTGACTCATCGACATTAACACGCTGATTGGTGTCTTGCTCCTATACATTATAGTTTTCCTCTTAGAGTCATGCCATTCATGTAACTACTTTCAAGGGAAAATTTTTTTAACTGAATTCACATGATTTCTGGAGTACACTGGAAGTTCCTATACAGTTAATCAGGGCCTACTACAGTTCATTTTATTAAATTTGTAAATATTTATAAAACTGATAATATGTGACTTTTTAAAACATTAATGTTATACATTTATTGAAAATTTCTGAAATTTTGTAGAGGTTTGTTTATAAGGGGATTGATGCTATTCAATTTTTGTGATTCAAGTAGGAAATCTCG